ATGGATTGATTCAGTCACTGGGGTAATAGGGATGGGTGTGTCAGAGATTGGCAAAGATAGAGCAGGGTTTAGGGCTGTTGTACATAGTGTCGCTATGAGTTGCAGGCGACTCAATGGCACATAACAACAACAACAACAACAAGAAGTAACTGATAATCATAGGTGAGCAAAATCCTGCTGCAGCTTATCCAAAAATGACTGGAACAGTATTATTGACAGAGAATAAGCAGAAATATAAGCTGGGTTTAGAAGAGACCATGGCACTAGAGACATTATAGCCAATGTCAGATTGATCTTGCCTGAAAACAAATATTACCAAAGGAATATCTACTTGTGTTTCACTGACTATGCAAAGGCATTTGACTATGGATCACAACAAATTGTAGCTAACATTGAAAAGATTGGGAATCCCAGGACACTTGATTGTGCTCAGGTGACACCTATACTTGGACCAAGAAGCAGTCATCAGAATAGAGCAAGGACACACTGCATGGTTCAAAGTCAGGAAAGGAGTGTGCCAGGGATGCATCTTGTATCCATATCTTTTCAATTTATATGCAGAACAGATCATTAGGGAGGCTGGACTTTCTGAGGAGAAATGTAGGGTCAGGATTGGAGGAAACAACCTATGTTATTCAGATGACACAACCTTGCTTGCTGCAACTGAGTAAGACCTGAACCAGTTTCTGCAGAAGGTCAAGGGCTGTCATCTTCAATATGGATTGAAGCTCTGCATCAAAAAAACAAAGAGTCTCACCACTGGGCTGATTGGCAACACCATGATGGATGGAGAAGAGATTGAGATTGTTAACAATTTCAGCTTGCTCAGATCCACAATCAACACTCTTGGCACCAGCAGTCAAGAAATAAAAAGATGAATTGCATTAGGAAACTTTGCTGTCAAGGACTTCTCCAGAGTGATGATGTCAGTTTAGAAACTAAAGTAGTCCAGAGGCAGGTGTTGTTAAGCATCAGAGATCTGGACAATTACTAAGGTTGACAGAAGAAGAATCGATGCCTTTTGCATTGCTGGAGAAGAGTATTGAACATTCCAAAGACTGCCAAGAGAACAAACAGTTCTGTCCTGTAGAGAGTGAAACCAAGTTGGTCTTTGGAGGCAAAGCTTTTGAAGCTCTGTCTGACAGGCGTTGGACATGTTGCCAAAAGGGACCAGTCCTTGAAGAACATCATACTTGGAAGGGTGGAGGGACAGCACAGGAGAAGAGATGGATTGACACAGTAACTGGGGTAATGGGAGTTGGTATGTAGGAGACAGTGAGATTGGCTCATAATAGATCAGGGTTCAGACCTACTGTGCATAGGGTTGCTGTGAGTCACAGTTGACTCGATGACATATAACAACAGTCACTTAGAGATGCCTTGGGACACAGTTCAGAGGATCTGCTTGCCTATTCAATAGACCCACATGGAGTTACGTGAGGTAGAATAAATTCAGTGGCTACTAACAACAGTAGTACTCTCTGTCCTGTACCAATCTCATTGTCTCCGACATGCTCATCCCAATTGCCCCAGTCACCGAATCAATCCGTCTCCCAGATGGCCTTCCCTTCCTGCGCCTGCCCTCCACCCTCCCAAGCATGATGTCCCTCTCCAAAGACCGGTCCCTCCTTACAACATGATCAAAGTATGTCAGACGAAGACTCAGAATCCTTGCCTCCAAGGAACAGCCCGATTTAACCCTCTCCAGGATGAATCTGTATGTTTTCTTAGCAGTCCATGGCACTCTTAGCACTCTTCTCCAACACCAAAGCTCAAAAGCATCAATTCTTCTGCCCTCCCTGGTCATTGTCCAGCTCTATGATGCGTAACAAGTGATTGCAAAGACCATGGCCTTTACCAGATGCACCTTAGTCTGCAGAGACACACCGTTGCTCTTGAGTACTTTAGAGAGGTCTCTAACAGCAGACTTTCCCATTGCAATACGTCTTTTAATTTCCTGGCTGCTGGTTCCAAGAGTGTTGATTGTGGAGCCAAGCAAACTAAAGCTGTGAACAATCTCAATCTCTTCATCATCCATCCTGATGCTGCCAATTGGTTCAGTGGTGAGAATCTTTGTCTTCTTGACATTGAGCCTCAATCCATATTGAAGGCTGCAGTCCCTGACCCTCAGCAGCAAGTGCATGAGGTCCTCCTCAGTTTCAGCAAGCAGGGTTGTGTCATCTGCATAACGCAGATTGTTGATAGATCTTCCACCAATCCTGATGCCACATTTCTCCTCATAGAGCCCAGTCTCCGGGATGATCTGTTCGGAATACAGGTTGAAAAGGTATGGAGACAGGAGACGTCCCTGGTGTACGCCCTTCCCAATTTTGAACCATGCCGTGTTTCCTTGCTCTGTTCTGACAACTGCCTCTGGGTTCAAGTATAAGTTTCGCATCAGCACCATCAAGTGTTCCGGGATTCCCATTCTTCTCAGAGTCAGCCACAGTTTGTTATGGTCCACACAGTCAAATGCCTTTGCATAATCAATGAAGCACAGATGGACATTCCTCTGGTATTCCCTTCTTTCAGCCAATATCCATCTAACATTAACTACAATATCCCTAGTACCCCGACCCCTTCTAAACCGAGCCTGGACTTCTGGCAATTCTCTGCTGATGTGCTGGTTCCAGTCGTTTTTGGATAATCTTCAGCAGAATCCTGCTTGCATGTGAAATCAACGATATTGTTCTATAGTTTCCACACTCTGTTGCATCACCTTTCTTTGGAATGGGAATAAATAACTTTTTTTTTCATAGTTAGAAAAGTAGACACATAGATGGTGTAAATGGCTTGCCTTCAGCTTTTAACTAAAAGGTTGGTGGTTTGAAACAACCCTGTGGTGTCATGGAAGTGATTGATGGATTGCTTTTTTTTAAAAAATTATTATTGTTTGTATGTACCATCAAATCAGATCTGACTGGTACAGGAGGAGATTGTCCTTCCTTCTCCAGCAGAGCATCTGGTGGCTTTGAACCGCAAACCTCTGGGCTTGCAATTCAGTTTCTTGCCACTAGGCCACCAGAACTCCCTGATGCTTTGCTTTTGGTAAGATTATGTCTACTGAAATGCTGTGCTTTGCAGTCCTGCACCGAAGCTTGTGGGGTTTCCCTGAGTTAGAAATGACTTGATCTCCACGGGTTTGGCTCAGATTTTTAGCCACATATGACTATTCAACACATGGCTAGTTGAGATATGCACTTATGTATAAAGTACATACATAGTTTCAAAGATTTTGTGCAAAGAACATAAAATAGTGTATGTTGTCACTTTAATACTTTGTTAGATTGGAGGGGGGCCCAAATAGCCAGCCCACTGCTATGAAGTTGATTCTGACTAGAGATGCTATTGGATAGAGTACAGCTGTCCCATTGTGTTTCCAATGGAACTGGGCTTCCTGGGTTGTGATTTTTAGTTTTTTAAAATATTTACTCATTTTCCACCCCCTTCTTTTTTTTCTTCTTGTTGTGTACCGTCAAATCGGATCTGATTGGCACAAGAGGAGATTGCCCCTCCTTCTCCAGTGGAGCATCTGGTGGATTTGAACCAGGCACCTTCGGGATTGTGGTTTGTTTTTTTGTTTGTTTGTTTGTTTTAATGGAAGCACCTGCTACATCTTTCTGCCATGAAGACACAACACTGGTAGGTTGGAACCACTGGCCTTTGAGTTAGCAGCACAGCACTTAAACCACTGTACCACCTGGGCTCCACCTGGGTGGTTGTTGTGAGGTCCTATTCCATTGGCTCTAATTCAAAGTGACACTATGCCAGCATTTTACTTTTTAGTGTGGCCTCTGGGATATGAACAATGGCATTGTTTTTACATTGGACAACGTTGCTCTGGAAGTAAGCAAAAAGTCAAACTGAGCCACCATTTCATCAAAAGAGGCTCACAGACAACGACAGCGTGGCTCTAGAATGCAGAGTTGGTCCCCTCAGAGGGAGCTTGGGAGTTTTCTTTCCCCGTGTCCAGGTGGCTTGAGACAGCACTAAAGCTTAAAAACTGGCCCCCGGTGTTCACAGCAGAGGACGGATTCCCTCCTGAGACCTCAAAGGTGAGGTGGAACCCTGCATGGTGCCCCCCCCTTTGACAGAGACCTCCCCAGACAAAACAAACAAGCCCCTGGGTTTCACTAACTGCAGCAGGGACCGGAAAGGAAGATCAAAGACCCAGCGGTTACCTCCTTTCCAGTCGGAAAGCTGGCAGCATTCTCCAGTCCCAGGGCGGGTGCCCATTGGCCCTGCCACCAGGGAATCTGAGAGACTGGCTGACAACTCAAAGCTTTTGGACTCTTTATCGCTTCAAGTCTCACAAAATGGCTTGAGGCACAATGGAGGGACTGAGGTTTGCTGGAGAGCCTTCTTTCAACTAGAGAGGACTGGGGGGGGGGTGAGGTTTGGGAGGTGAGATGAAGCTGGTGCAGATCACAAGTGGACATTTTCTGCAGAAGGGAAACAGCAAAGCAGTAGGAGCGTAGCCGTTTCCTCTCCTGACCTCAGTTTCCCCACCTGTAAATTGGAGTTGCTTAGAGGAGAGAGGAGCTCAGAGCGCGCAGGGATGGCACAACACTGTGAGCCAGCGGAGCAGAGGTTCGGGATCCTCCAAGACGCTGTGGGAGTGTCTGTCCCAGTAACACCTCCAGATGAGAAGCTACCCACCCCCAGCCAGACATCGCAGCCCCCAGGGGTGCCTGGTGGGCCTGGCTGGGGGAGCTAGCAGCGGCGGCCCCGCCCCCGGCCCGCCCCCTCCGCGGCCTCGCCTTTGATGAGCTGAGCGCGCCAATGGGCGCGCGAGGAGGCGAGGGCCGCGGCGGCGGGCGGTGGACCCGGCTGGGCTGGGCGTCAGTAGGGCCGCAGGGAAGGCGGCGAGAGTGGGGCTGGGCGCCGCCTCGGGCTCCGCGCGGCTGCGGGGCTGCTCCGGGCAGGAAGAAGCGAGGCGCACGGCTGGGCCCGCAGGCTGGCCCATGGCTTAGGGGCGTCCCCGCGCGCAGCCCCCCAGCATGGGGAAACTTCACTCCAAGCCGGGTCAGTGTCTCCGCGGCGCGCGCCGGCCCCGAGTCCCCGCCGCCCCTGCCGACGCGATCTCTAACTCTCTCCTTCTCCTTTCTTTCCGGCCCCGGCTGCCTCTGCGCGCGATGTGCCTGCAGCCTCCTTGAGCAAGCGCAGGGAGAGCCCGGAAGGTAGGAGCGCCTTGGGCACAGAGCCGTGGGATGGATTGGGAAGTACCCCTGAGGGTAGAGGAATGGTCCAGTCTCCCTTAACACCTGGGCCATTCCGTCCAGCACTGCAGCCGCTAGTCCTAGAAACCTGCCCCCAGAGCAGCTCTCATCACCCTTCCTCTGCCCCTCCAACCCGAATCCCCCAATCCCTCTGACCATCAACCCTTCCCCCATCCGGTGCTCCCCGCCCAGAGCGATCACTGAGTTCCCTCTCCTGACTCCCAAACTCCTTCTCCCGAAGTCCTGCCTCCCTCTTCTATCCCCTAGCTCCCCTCTCTGGGGGAGCCTAGCCCGAAGACCCCTTTCCCTAATCCCCTGGTGGCGCTCGCTCTTCTGACCCTCTGTGCGTCTTCTTCCCCTTGTCTGGGTCCCAGCTCTTGGAGCCTCACTGGACCTTGTTCTGATTTAGTTGAGTCCTCTCCGATCCTGCCCTAGTTCTCGAGCCCCTTCAGTGCCCACCCACCCCCCTGCCTTTGTTTTCCTTCCTCTGATTCGCCCATCCCCTCCCTCCCCTTTAGGGTAACTTTCAGCCCTGGAAAGCCAGACTCAGGAAAGTGCATGCCATCTCCTCCCCAGGTGACAGCTTCGCGGTGAGTGCTGCTTGGGCTCGGAAAGGCATCGAGGAGTGGATCGGGAGGCAGCGCTGCGCCAGCGTCAGCCCAGGACCCAGGCAGCTGCCAGCGGCAAGCACTGTAGGCAGAGGCGCCCGGGTACGATCCCCACCTCACCCCATTCTCTCACTCCTGCCAGCTTCAGAGCTGAGTCTCCTTACCTACCCACCCCAACACTTAAGCATCGCATCCTTCTTACCACAGCTTTTAGGACCAGAGCTCTTTTCCTTGTGGTGCCCGCATGACCCTGTGCGTCCATGCCTTGAGGTGGGATAGGGGTCTAGGGGAGAACATGCCCCATCTCGTGCAGCAGGAATGCAGCCTGCCCAGGGAACCAGTGGAAGAGACTGCATTCTAGGTAGCGGGACTTGAGGACTCTGGGACCGGATAGAGATGTTAGGTGAACATTTTCTGCAGAAGGGAAGCTGCAGTAGAGCAGTGAGAGGGAGGCTCATTCTGATATAGCCTGGGCTCACCCATGAGGCTTCACTCAGTGCATCTGGTCAGTGGGTGCCTGCGTGGTTCCTGGAAGAGAAGTAGGTGTGACAGAGGAGCCAGGGAGTCTAGACTCAGCTCCTGGCCTGGGACTGGTATTCACAGATGTCCTGTGAGCTCCAGAACTCTGCAAGGGACTGTCTACGTGGAACTTGTGCAAGTCAAGGATCAAAGGATGAATCAACTTTTTGATGTGACATTTCAGTTTTTACTTCCAGGGGGACGGAATGTGTTTCAGGTCTGGTTAGTTCATCGGTCTGTCCAAGAGTCCAGGAGAGGCTGGGTGGAGTCTTCAGATGTGTGTGTATATTTGGACAGTGGGACCTGGACCAAGTACAGCTCAGCCTTTGGGGCCAGTATTAGGAGGTTGGCCAGTGGATAAAGTAAATTAGGTTGTGCATGTAACAAAATAAGCTTCCATCTTTTCTCCCCTCTATTGCCACTGCTCCTGGGATCTTTCTCTTTTCGATTTCTCTCCATCTCTTGATGGAGTTGGAATTGGAGCTTCTGCCCCTCTAGTAAAGGTCAAAACTTGCTTGAGTTGCTGCAGTTGGAGCGCGTTAAAAACCACTCCCCTCCTCCCACTACTATTTCTTGTTTTGCATCGACTTTATTTAAAGCCAAATGAAAGCGATCTTATTAGCTGTACGCATTTGCAGCTCAAGACAAAGATAAACTGAGCGGCTTTCCATTACTCAAGTTTTTGGGATTTTCCGGCCTGTTTATTTTCACAAAGTATTCTTGCAGAATGGCATTTATTTGCAGTCTCTTCCCCCTCCCCCCATTCCTAAACTGCCAGGCAGCTTGCTCCACGCTAGAGGGGAAACTTGAAATACAGCAAGGGCTTACTTCAATTGACTTTTATCTTCAAAGCCATAACAAATGTTACCCGCATGTTTTTGGTGGGTCTCCTTGGCATCCAGTTCAGGAGAAATGGGAGGGAGGAGGAAAGACAGAGAGGAAAACAAAAGTCCATCATTTTTAATTAAATAGCAGTGTTCCCAGAAAGAAGAATGTGAGCCATCGGAAGGAATGAGGGAGAGCAGACAGGGGCTTGTGTCTGTAACTTTGGTGAAGTCATGGAATTTTGTTGCCGCATTTACCCTGGCTGAGGACAGCTTGCTGTCCTATTTGCCCCTGGTTGTTTAAAGCACTTTTGAAGATGTGAGACAAAGTCATCAGCTTGACATTTGTTAGTCACTTGGAGCCTGGACCCTGCTGTTGGTTCCCAAAGTTACTGGGGGGAGGCGAGCTCTGCTTTTGTGAGAGTGTCTCTGTTAATAGGCTCCAGAGATGCAGATTTTTACTGGCTTTGGCCCTGGAGGATGCTCGGGTGGCATCCTCCATAGGCAGTTGTGCTGTTAACCTAAAAATAGCGTCTCTCTGTAGGTTCAATTCCATCAGCTGCTCTGAGAGAGGTAGATCAGAGTCTCCTCCTCTCTTGTGATTTCTAGCCTCAAAAAATGCACTGGAGCATCAACTATGAGTCAATCCCAGCTCCATGGTAATGAGGTTTTTGGAGTTTGGGCCCAAGACAGTCCAGTTCACACAGGTGGGTTTGGCAACACAGGGGTTGGCCTGATGGTCCTTTTGGGCATTGTTTAGGGTGAGCTGAAATAGGACAGTCTCTCTCCAGGGGTGGCAAGTAGCACTGATGGGACCTGCAAGGACAACTCATGTGTTGTCTGAAGAGTATTTTAGTCTTATTAGTTCTTTATTTCTTTTACCAAAAAAAAAAAAAAATCAACAGTGCATCACAACCATGATTTACCAATGAGTGTTATTGCTTAGGATGAAGCAGAAGCCGAGTTGAAATAGTGAATTTCAAGCCCATTCAGAGCACAATGGAGTACAAATGGAATGCAGCACGAAGGAGAAATGATTTTGTAAAATATGATATAATCTGGGAGAGACCAGAGAGCATTATGCTGAGTGAAGTATCTCAACCACATAAGGACACATATTACATAAGGGCTACTGTAGTGAAAACAAGGGGATAACCGAGCAAGATATATATCAAAATCAGGATGGTTTTCAGAGCTGTTGTACATAGGGTCGCTATGAGTCACAGGCAACTTGACGGCCCATAAAAACAACAACATATATATTCAAAAGGGGAAGGAGGGACAAAAAACGAGGAGAAAATAGTAATGAGAAATGATCAAGGGGGATTGAAAAGACAGGTGGTAACAGGCATACAACAATGTAATTATATAGCATATAATGTATATGAATGATTAGAGACATCCCAAGGTATAAGAATGAAACCCAGCATATGTGAATGTATAAAACACAAGTACGTGTACAAAACATGATGTATATGAATGATTATATGCAAACCAATAAATTTTTTTTTTAAAAAAGAAAAGTTAAAGTCCATTCAGAGGAAAATATTAGGTATTTAAACAAAAATTTAGAAAACCTCAAACTTGCTGCATCAAGTTGATTCCGACTCAAAGCAGTCCTTGGTCAGGTTTCCCAAGGTTTGGGTCTTAATGGAAGCACACTGCCCCTCTTTCTCCTGTGGGACACCTGGTGGATCCAGGCTGTTGGAGATGGCCAGACTTTTGGTTAGGAACACAACACGTTACAGACTAGGCCCCCAGAGCTCCCTAAGTTAGCAGTTGTTGTTGTTGTGTACTATCAAATCCAACTTGTACCACTGCCCTGTGGCTACTGTAGTAGCAGTTGACCCCGACTCGGGATGACCACATGTGCAGTGACACGAAACACTGCTCGGTTCTCACCCTCCCCAAGATGGGCTGAAGATGAGACTGTTGTGCGGTCCATAGCATGTTCAGAGGCTGATTTGTGGAAGTCAATAGCTAGGCATTTCTTCTTAGAGAGTTTCCATCTAGAAGTTCCTCTTTAGTGTCATGGCAACATTCTCTAGCCTCCGCTGATAGGTGGATGGTGACTGTGCTTGGTGCATATCAGCCAGGAATTGAACTCATTTTCCGTCATTCTACTGAATTCTACCTTGGAGCCAGAGCCATTGCTGTCATGTTAATTCCAGCTCACGGTGACCCTCCTGTAGGTTTCTGAATACATCTTAATGGGAGAAGACTCCCATGGAGTGCATGGTGGATTTGAGCTGCCAACCTTTTGGTTAAGAGTCCAACACATAACCCTCTGTGACACCAGGGACCTCTACTTGTAGTGATGTTGTTGTGTACCGTGGAGTCAGAACTGACCCATAGCTGACACTGCAGTGGGTTTTCAGAGGCAGTTGAATCACATGGGAGGAGATTGTCCGTCCTTCTCCTGCAGAGCGGCTGATGGATTCGAACCACATGCCTTTGGGATTGCAGCATAGCTTACCAGTAGGCCACCAGAGCTTCCAAACTGTAGTGATAGTGACTGTTTATTAAGCATCTGTATGTGCACTTTGTGTTCATGACCTTAACCCTCCCTTTAGGCCACTAAATTTGCCATCTGGCTGGCATAGATTTGTTTGTTTTTTCCCTTTCCGGGTCACCTTCCAGGAGAAAGAAAGCCATTATGGCAAAGCTTTGTGTCTAAAGGGTGCTGTGTTCAATAGTTCCTGAGAAGTGGCATATGAACCAGTTGCATGTGCTTTGGGGTGAGCTGGCTCGGGGGCAGATAGAAGCAGGAGGGGCCCCTGCTTGCCTCATGTGATTGGAAGAACATGGCCAATGGTGAGCGCATGGGCACTAAATGAAGCCTACCTTCCTGCCTGCAAAAATAAGCGAGACCAGGCTCTACCATGACAGCTGTGTCACCTTGTGGAGTCATTTTATCTTTTTTTGTGTTAGAACTGACCTACAGCTGACCCTCCAGCGGGTTTTCAGAGGCAGTTAATCACAAAGGAGGAGATTTCCCATCCTTCTCCCATGGAGCAGCTGGTGAATTTGAACCGAGAGCCTTTGGGATTGCAGCACAGCGTCTTGCCACAGGTCACCCGAGCTCCCTATTTTATTTTTGCATGCCTCTTCTGTAAAAGGAGTACAATAATATTATCTTCACTGGCAGGGTTATGCTAGATAAAAGTCCAGGAAGATTAGAACCTGGGAAGAGTGGTGGTACTGGATGGTTCCTTGAGAGACGGTGGAGGCAGCAGTCGGAAGGGGAGAGTTCTCGGGGGCAGAGAGAGGTCGGACACAGGCTAAGATTTAGGCTTCTACAGGGAGCTCTGGCTGTCCAGTTGCCTATGACTCATAGCTACTCTACTTACAACGACTCTGAGCCCTGCTCTATCTTGAGCCAATTTGATTGCCTCCAACACCTCTGCCCTGTTGTTGTTATGTGCTGTCCAGTCCCCTGTGATTCATAGCGACCCTATGTACAACAGCCCTAAACCCTGCTCTATCCTGTGCCAATCTCGCTGTCACTGACACACCTACCCTCATTACCCCAGTCACTGAATTAATCTATCTCATCAAGGGTCTTCCTCTCCTGCGCGGACCGTCTTCCCTCCCAAGCATGACATCCCTCTTCAAGGACTGGTCCCTCCTTGCAACATGTCCAAAGGTATGTCAGATAAAGCTTCAGAATCCTTGCCTCCAAGGAGTAGCTTGGTTTCACCCTTTCCAGGATGAACTTGTTTGTTCTCTTAGCCATCCATGGTATATTCAGTATTCTTC